AGCGCGACACTGATCCACTGATGCTTGGTACTGGTCTTATCAGTACGCCATTCTCTTTCTAGCCTTTTCCTCTTTCTCTTAACAGCTTTAATCTCATCCGTAAACCACAGAGCATGGTGGGGAAGGGTTACGATCGACGAAAGACGGAGCATGATGATCAATTATAGATTGAAGAATGGGATTTAATAGGTTAATAAGAAAATGAACGACAAAACATGTTTCGACAGTTCTGTCATCTTCAGTTCTGAGTAATAAAAAGTAAAAAGTTGATTGGACAAAACAAACCATAGTTACAGAACAATGTAGTCATTTGTTTGTATGTACGCTGATAGAGCACACTGCAAAGAAAATTAAAATAACACCATCGTCAGGTATAAGGAACAAATATCATAAATAAATTCATAGCTTTTGCATGTTTCGAAGGTCATTGAGGTCTCTGTCGATCTGAAATTTTATTTATACTTTGACTCTTCATTTTTAAAAAAAAAATCCTGTCTTGTGCTTTGCAGTAAACTTAACCTAAAAGTTAAAGATCTTTTCATCATAAAATTCATATTTCAGCCTTTACGTAAATACTTTTTTCACGCATCTTTTGTGCTTTGAAAGAAGAATTGCCTCAATTGTCGAAAATGAAATAATATAAACAATTATCAATTAGAAAACGTATTTCGTAGCAAATGAGCAGTATGTAACAAATACCCACTTTCAATGATCGGCGACAAAGTATAATCTTTAAATGAAATGTGACGTCTTGCTGACGAAAGGCTGTACCAGAGGATCTATCAGAAAGCAACATCATACGGAACTTTCAAAATTTGAACAATATCCTCTATGTTCTCATTTTGCGAAAATTTCTCTCCCTTTTCTGAATTAGGTTTAAAGTTTGGTCTGTTTCAGTAGGCCGATGTTTTTGTAAAGGTTCGTCTCAGCGTAAAAAATTTCACAAGTAATCCTCATGAGAATCATCGAATTCAAACTTTTGCATATTCTTTCTTAATACTCTTAAATCTTCTTGATCACGTAGTTTGAAAGAAGGAAACAAACTCAATTATTTACACGGCATCGAGTCAAATGGAACTCCTAAAAGTGGAACATTCTTAGTAATATAAACGTCTTCTAGCCGGTAGAATTATAGGCAGTCCCTCCTACCCAGCTAATTTGAAAAAGTACGAACAGAATGCGACAAATTTATATAGTCTTGTCGAAATCTTTATCGTCGTCGTTCATAAAGTGATGGACAGTTGGCATGACCTGTTTGTATATTTTATCAGGCTTTATTTATTTGTATATTTTATCAGGCTTTATAGGAGTGTTCAGACGGGCCAGGTCATTAAAGGAAAGCTGTGAAAGATCACGGAAATCACCAAATATCAAACAGGATACAGATGCATTACAATTAACACTTCTGGAGGATTTTTTCTTTCTTATTTTGTAGCTTAAATTAATAGCGCTAATACCATCAAATAATCATTTTTTTCTAGTCTAATCAAACCCTAACTCATTATCTGCAATGTTGCTAAGAAAATATTAGCAAATCTTGCGAAAGGAAAATCTTCTCAGTAAAGATACAACAACAATGATCAGGATGAACGAATTTTATTCTTTATTGATTACTCGCGTTGTTTGCTCGTCTGATTTCGATATCTAACTTCGATATTTAACTTCAATATTTAACTTCAGTACTCCAAGTATCACCCGTCTTCACTTAGAGGGAAGTTTTGATATTACCTTTCTTTGTCTCTAGATAAACCATCAGCCACCTGGTCAAGCTCCACCATTGAAGTGGAGTTAGGAGAAGACAGGTCTATTGATTGCCCTGTGGATATTGGAAACCCCCCAGCTGTCATCACTTGGCACAAAGGAAATGGTACCAATTGCAATAAAACGAGCAATAGCTCAACTCTGGAGGTTCAGAATGCTTCTTTAAGTGACAAAGGATGGTATACCTGTTTTGCAAAAAACGAATTGGGAAACACAACCGTCAGTTTGTTGCTACTGGTTGGTAAGTTGATAAGGTTTTTCATTATAATGACTAATCAATCAATAAATAAATACTAGTTTTCGAATCGTGTGGCCTACTTATGTCCGAAACATTAATAATAGTTTCATTTCATTTGATGGCATGGGAGAAAAAACCTCCCCGAGAGGAACAGGGAACAAAGTACTATAGTTTCTAACTTTTAAAAAGGGACTAATAGAAATCAACCTACGACCTACGATAACTATCTTAAATAGCAGTGTGCAACATGACATTTTCCCGCCTGATTGCCAGCTTAAAAGTGATTCACTTCTTTACGGTAAACTGTAACATACAATATTATCAATAACAGGGTATTATTATTTCACACAAAATGTGACGTACGTAACGTATGCTGAGTAGTATTAAATGGATTTTTTTCAGAAGTACTTACAAATTTTTGAGATTATAAGGAAACGTGAAAGCAGAACACAAAGGTCTCCACCTTCAAAATATTAACGCGAGCATTGCATTAGAAACATTGTTACTTGAGTTTAACAATCAGTTTGTTCCCAGTTATCATGGAGCTGTCTGTGTATTTCTTCCATTTTTGCAAGTTTTTAATGATGATAATACAACTAATGATACTAAAAATGATGATTCTGATAAATATGATAACGATGTAAGTAATAGCACCATTTTCAGAATGTGTTGTTTGGCGTTAGTCGGGATCACCCTAAACCCACTAATGTAAAGTAAGTCTCCGGCTAAAATACTGCTTTCATTATCAAGAACTATGTGGTAGGTACAATAAGTACATGTCTCTAATAGTACGATTTTACCTAAACCCAGTTAACCCAGTATCAAGTACAGTTGTTATTTCATCCCAAGCAACTCCCACAGGTAAATGATTTTTCATTTATTATTTTTTAGAACGACATTTGAAACTATTTTATCAAAATAGAATGTTCTTAGATGTTACGAAAGGTGTCGGAGTAAAGGATTCAGAGTGAATTAAATTACTAAGAGTCTTGAACTTAGCGAATGACTGATCTTTTGTAAAGCACACAGGAGGCAGATAGAGCACGAAAGAAATGTAGGGGGAAACACGAGATGCAATCGATTGTTTCTCCTTACCTTATAAAGTTTAACAGATATGTCAGGTCAGTTTTATTATTCATCATTCCTGTTCTTTTCTGTACTGCCTTTGAACGCGAAATAATGTATACTCTACGAGTGTTAGCAGTGTGGGTTTTTTTGGCATATTTACAAACCTTTGTTTGGTTCTTCTGTCGCTATTTGCCGGCTCACTTGTTCCGAAACTTCTCTTTAATTTTAAAAACGAAAAAAGGTTGGAGAGAAGTCCGGAAAATGGTCGGAAAATGTACTAACTGGCAGATGGCGTGACAGCTTTAGTTCAGTTCCGTGTTTTGTACTCTGATAAAACACGCTCTTTCAACCAATGGCAGCGCGTGTTATGTCCGAACTTTATTCTAAATTATGGTTATATGAAGCACTTGGGAAGTTTGGAGAGCACTAGAGAAGCGTACGAGTAAGGGCAAGACCCCAGTTTCTTGAGTGCTCTCAAAACTTCCCAAGTATTTATATCCCCATGAATGAACAGCTGACGTATCAACCAGTTGTTTTGTAACATTGCCAACGCAGTATTTTGGATTTTGTTTTCTCACAGTCCGGAAAGTTTTGAGAGAGACAGCGCCCGGTAAATCGAAAATAGGTCTTCTTTTAAACAAGTGTTCATATCCCCATGAATGAACAGCTGACGTATCAACCAGTTGTTTTGTAACATTGCCAACGCAGTATTTTGGATTTTGTTTTCTCACAGTCCGGAAAGTTTTGAGAGAGACAGCGCCCGGTAAATTGAAAATAGGTCTTCTTTTAACCAACACAAGCTCTGGTGGAATCAGTTGAAAATTGAATTGAATCAGTTAAAACCAGATCTTTTCATCAAAACCAGAAAAAAAAAGATAGTTTTCGTCAAAATGTGCTCAGAAATCATAATTTAGATGAAATTGGTATAGTGCTTGTTGTCTATGAGATTTAAAAATCGTTTGCATATTTGTCGGTTACCGATGAATGCGTACCAAAAATTAAGGCATAAAGGGGTAAAAATATAATTTTATAACAAAGATGCTGTTTAGGACCAGAAAAACTCGGATTCCATAAGGTATATACGACCCACGTTAAAGATTCACAATGCTTGAATTGTGCTTTACTCGACTTCACGGCCAGAAAATTGCGAAGTGTTGTGTTCAAATTCTGAAAGCTGTCAGATCTAAAGCAAAATCTTGAATTCCACTATACTTCAAGGACATATCAACACTATACAATATTCACCAGGCAAAAGAATACTACAAAACTTGGGAAGTTCCACTTTTGACAGAAAATACGGTTTATATTTCCCATCCATAATTTGGATCGTGTTTGGGAATCATTCCCAATGATCGTAACATTGCTCACTCGAGATTTCTTTCCCTCCCTTTCAAATCCCAAAAGACCATCGCTTTTCAAATCGAGTATCCTTCCGGCATAGATTTACTTTTCATTAGAGCTCCTAAAGGCCTTTCTCAATCAGATGGAACGGAAGAAAGATCTTGAAAAACTTAAAACTTGCGGCCAAACCGGTCTTGAAGCTCGCAGTCAACTGCGGAGTAAAGTTTTCAATCTCGAGACATTTGTCTGCTGACGTTATTAGGGTGCACAATAGGATTATGAAGCACGCTTGCACTATAGAATTGGTTACCTGGATCTGTTAGCTAATATAAGTTAAGTTTTCGCTCGAGCAAAGTATAGCACACCCTGTTAGGGAGACTTTTTGCTGGGATTATTCGACAATGTTCAAGCTGAATTATTGTTGGATGGAACTACCTTTCAAACGTTCTTGTGAATCAAAGCTCTTCGTGCTTTTAGTATTATAAAAGGAAACGGCTCTTCTTTAGTTTCAGAAGGCACACAAGTTATCCTTACGGCGACAATACAGGAGAACTGTAGCAGACGTTTAGAAGTTGCTGAGAAATTCCCAGAGATGGTGAAATAATCATCTTTATTCGTATACTGGAGTTTATCGAATACTGCCATACAATTTTTTATGAATATTGAATCTTAATCGTTATGAATAAAAACATGGTTTTTCTGCCACAAAGATGACACTTTAGTAATGTAGCAAGCATTGGAATATACACTTTTTCTTCATATGTCCTTTTAGGCCTGTCAAATTGCCCGTAGGTTTGGGTGCTCATCTGCCAACACTGTGAACACCAGGTAAGGAACAGTATCTTTCTTAAATTAATCCAAAAAAAGATAACGGAAATTTGTGATCAGGGGAAAACTTGAGCTCAGATTAGCATATTTCAGCATTTAAATGGTTCTCCAGTTCTGAAAACAGTTAGTTAAAACAGAATTGTCGACATTTGACGAACATTTTTTATATTGTAGAGCGAATTAACTTTATTTAGCTTGGTCTTTTTCATCAAAATACTTCTTAGGTTAAATATTAATGTATTTCAGTACCAAAAAGTCACCAAATCTGTTATATGTGTAATTGCACTCTTTTCCCCCCCCCCCTCCTTATCTAGGTGTGGCAGTGTTGTTCTCGACTTCATGATGAGGTTCAATCAAAGCGTAGTCGTCAGCAATGTTTTGACTCTCCTGTCGGATGCTGCAATACAAAGACAATTTGAAGGTTTTGAAGTCAATCCAGACTCAATTGAACTCGTTTTAATACCCACAGACGGCTCGGAAAGCACACCCAAGGGTAAATATTACAGAGAAATTGTTGAATGTTTACACGTATCCTTTCGAAAATGAACTTTTTCTAATTGCAAACCGTATCTGATTTATTAAACAACTAATTTCTGTGAGGGATATACTTCTGGGTTGTTGTTGCTTTTGTTCAATTTAAACAAAATGTTGTTTTTAGATTTTTTTATGGATAGAGTAGCACCTTACTTTTCCCTAGTACCTAGCCAATCAGAGTTGACCTTTTTTTCAGTCACAAGCCTAAGACATATAATGAGAGCAGTATATCGACTAGGGTCATTGTAATATTTTTGTGAATGTTACCTCATTTAGCTTATAAAACGAATCATTTTAGGTCCTGAGGAATGTAACTGCCCATCTAACAACGTTTTGTTAGCCATAATTGGGGTTCTTGCCTTCACAATCCTTCTTCTAATTATTTACATAATCTGGCTACATAACAAAGGTAGGTAAAAAATCATAATCTATGTTACAGGCTTAGGCTGCGATATTCATTATGATATAATTAAAAGCACATCCACATAATTAGTCTATTTTTCCTTTCATTCCTTTTTTCAGCCGCTGTAGGGAAGCAGAGGTAAGAATTTGCAGCCAATTGGATTGTGGCGATGTAATGTACCAGATATGGTATCGTCTTAACAAAAAATTCCACTTAAAGCTTATGAAATTCTCAGCTTTTTATAAATGTTCGTATGCTTTCTCAATTGTAGGACTTATGAAGATGAAAGAGGTGTTTACGACGTAAGTAACAGCTAAGACTTGCGGTCATGTTGGTGTGGCCAGAAATTATGTAGTCTTACTTTACCTCTACTTTCTATAAGAAAATAAACGCTTGCAGCAAATAAGAAAGAAAAAAGGTGTTCTTCTACGAAAAAAAATTGCATTAATGGCAGATACAGTGAAATAGAGGAGGAAGTTTGACTTAATAGGGTCTTTGTCTTGGGATTATGACCTTTACTCAGCTACTCCATCGATTTTCCAAGGGTAGTCCCTGCTTCAACTGCGTGGCTTTACTTCATAGATCGCTAACTGGTCTGCACCCGGTTGATATTTGCTCTCTAAATAATTTTTTTCGTCCATTCTGGTCGTCTTATTTTCTTGATGCCTTATTTTCCAAACGTAAGTCCAGGAGCTGAGTACAGCAAGAATTTTTTCGCGCATGTATTTGTCAAAAAATTGCACTACCAACCAACAATCTTCGTGTTGCAGTTTGCAGCTTCGGTTAAGATGCTATGAACATCACTCTATTAGGCATGATAGTTTCAAAAGCAGAGAACAAGATGCTTGTAATAATAAGGACAAGAGATTGTAAACTATTTCTAATCTCTTGTTATGGAAGAATGTAAACGTTTGTCTGATAAAAATGGGTAAACTGATTTTTATAACCATGTAGAACTTTTTATTGGGATTAATAACAGATTTGTATATGAAGACCTTAACGGCATATTGGTTTAATAGAATGAAACAGGATTAGAAGATATCGTATCAAGTCTGCCCGATTCAAGAAAACTCACTCAGTCACCTGCGAAATACATGGATCTCATAGAAATCAACAAAGATGATAGAAAAGCGCAAAGCACCGCTCCAGGTGCTGATTACGTGCCTCTTCGTCCGTTAACAGGCTGCTGGGAAGTTCCAAGACATCACGTGACCATAGAAAAGATAATTGGTAAAGGTGCTTTTGGTCAGGTTGCCAAGGGAACAGCAGTAGGACTTCGAGGGAGCCCTGAAACGACCACAGTGGCTATTAAGATGCTTAAATGTGAGCCCTTTTACTGTAAATCGAATGACAGTCTTGGCCCACGATCATTCAGGAAATGTTACCGGTTACCGTAATTTTTTTAGCTATTTGCCATTTCATAACTTATGTTGTTATTTCGACATTTCGCATATTACTCCCGTTAAAAAAATTCTACTCCTTGTTTTAAACGCTCCAGCAAACGCTGCTGAATCAGACAAGAGAGATTTGGTGAAAGAACTTGACACAATGAAGCAGCTGAAACCACATCCTTACGTCATTAAACTTCTGGGATGTGTTACTGAATCTGGTAGGCTCTGTTTACGTATGCGGGTCTAATTTTGCTGTACAAATTTTGCTTATGATTTATACTGTAACGCTTTCTCGTAATTGATAATTTGCTTCAATGGAAGAGTCACTGCTTCACAATTGAGCACAACAGACAACCATCGCGTGAAGTAATTTTATCTTTTTTTATCAAAAATAGACCCTCATGGATTTACTGATAGACTAAGACTGAATATTTGCTACTGAACAGATCATTCCGTTGTAAAAGTAGAAACGATTTTTGTAAGGGAATATGTGGTCTGTACCTTATGAGACCGTTACACACTTTTTTAGCTTCGTAAAACTACATCTTGTTTTAGTGCGATTTCTTCAAAAGTATTTACCATGACTGGGCTATTCATTTATTTCAATTATTGCTAATTTTTTGGAGAGATTGATATATCAGTTAAATTTTTAAATTTTTTTTTCTTCAGAAGAGCTGTTGGTTTTGATTGAATATGTGCCTTTTGGGGATCTGCTGGGTTACCTGAGAAAGAGCCGTGGATTAAAAGACACTTACTACAAAGACCCAGATATCAAACCACAAACTAATCTGACGTCACAGCAGCTGATGAAGTTTGCTTGGCAAATTGCTGATGGAATGAGTTACTTGTCCTCAAAATCTGTATGTCGATAAAAACACAAAAGACAAACAATGAATGAGTTGCCAGTAATCGGATCCTTGTGTTTGCGTACAGATTTGTGGGATCGCCACGGGGCAAACATTGCTACTCACTAGAAGGAAATGTATGGCGAAAGGTTGTTGCGACGTCCAAAACACGATTTTAGAGAGATTATCGCTTTTTCGCCGCTCTTTTATCGGAAATGGATTTGGGTAGTGCTGATACTAGGGAAGCGTACGTTTTTGTTTGAAAAACTACGAAATATGTAGTAAAATCTACCGATTAACTTGTACCCATGGGCGTTGTTCATGTGAATTTGACTTCGCGTTATGGTCTCAAAATTTAGAAAATTTGACAATTCATGGTCAAAGAATAACTCAACAAAGCCTTTTTCGTGGCTTGTTATTACAAAAGAGCGCTACAAAAGCTACGGCTTGAGGCAGCAGGAGGTTGAAATGGCGTGCTTGAGCATTAAATATTATTATGGTACATTAAGGTGGTAAAACACCTACACTACTTCTTTGTTGTGATCAATGAGAAGGAATCGGCTTGATAAACGGCTCAAAATTGAATCTTCTCTTCTGTGACGACGAGTAATACAAATTTGTCCCCTAAGCAGCGACGCACAACCGATGATATATCCAGTTTCTGCCGGTATTTCCATGATCCTGATTTTCCTGACAAGATCCTTCAAGGAGTTCGAGAGACCTTTTGATTTTTCTCAAGCAAACTACCATTTGACCTGGGGATTTCTCCATGTTTTTCATCGCTTATTTCATCCTTTCAGAGAACAACGGCTCGTTAAAAATAATTTCCTTCTCCGTTGACAACGACTTCTCTCCTTTGAGGAGGTATATTTTCAAACGTCGTAATTTGTCTATTAATACGTTAACAAGTATGAAAGCAAGCTGTTCATATGTCAATATAACTGAAGAGACTGAAATGGGTTATTTCCTAGTGATTTATGGCTAATTTTGTAATATTTCGAGACCATTACATGATGACGATTTCACAATAGACCTTACGCAAGGAGAGAAGTTTTTCGGTATTTTTTATGACATATTTCGGGGTAATTCCACCAAAACCCTACAATTCCCTTTAACCAACATTATCTCTATCCATTTATGATAAAACTGCGGCGAAAATGTCACAGTCTTTCGCTAAAATCGCTTGTTTGAACGTTCAAACAACCTTTCGCCTTTCTAGCGAGTTACAACGTTTGCCCCGTGGCGATCCCAGAAATCTGTGCGCAAACGCAAGGATCTGATTACAGGCAACTCATTAATTCTAAAACCTTCTTGTAAGGTGTATCGTCATATGAAGCTCTGTTTTGCATAGAATATCATGTCTTCACAAGATCACGCCCGGGAGATTCAGATATATTCAAAGGCAGAAACGTGAATGAATAGGATCTTTTAAGATATTCAGCCTAAACTGGTTGTACATTAAACATCCATTTCAGTGAATAGAAAGAAAAAGGAATTAAAACTTCAAATTCAAAAATTCATCTTTGGTTGCTAAACTGCTATATTACAGAATCCTACTCAGTGTTCTCCTTTTCAGGCGGTTACCGGTAACATTTACCGCCTGTAGTACCTCTTATTACCGTTTAAAATTGCTTGGAATTCTTGGAAATACAAAAGGCAAAAGGATTGCTTTACCGGTTTGAAAATTTATTTTACCTGTTATGCTTAAAATAAGTGAGAACAATGCCTATTTCGATTAAAATCTTAAGAAAAGCGTTTTATGAATTAACTACGTAAATTAGTTTGCTTATATGTGGAATATGGAACAGTAATTATAGTAACTTTAATTTTTTGCCATCCGGAAGAAAGAGAAATACGCACACCATATTATGTTGATTGATATTTCCATTTTCTTCCCTGAACCATTTCATTTCAGTTCTTTTTTTCCCACAACCGCTAATTTTTGCTGTCGCATCAATTCTTTCTCAGATCATTCACCGAGACCTTGCAGCCCGTAATGTGTTGGTTGGACAAAATGAAACGTGTAAAGTGACAGACTTCGGAATGGCCAGAGATGTGCAGCAGGAAAATATTTATGAACGAAAGACAAAGGTAATCAAAAAAGAGGGGAGGTGGAGGCGGTACTACATATCGTTCAGTTTAGTGATCTTTTGCAATCTTTGTGGTGGTAAAGCTGATATATTCCTGATTTTGGCTATGAATTTCTTGGGACCCTAATGAAACTATTAGCCATGCGTATACGAGCATAACTTTAACTAACACTGTATTTGACCAGTCGTTTCCTATAATATTTTAGCTGTTTCTCAAAGTGATATTTGAAATTTTTAGGGCCGTCTTCCCGTGAAGTGGACAGCTTACGAGGCCTTGTTGTATGGTAAATATACTACTAAAAGTGACGTGTAAGTATACCTGATTATTGCCCGTAGCAATTTATCAACAAGTTTTATCAATTTTAATCAGGAAATGAATTCTATGCCTTGTAAAAGAATACATATATTTTATTTGTTGTATATACTGTTTATGTCTATAGTCACTTAATTGTTATTTGTTTGATTTCTCTTTCTGCAGATGGAGTTATGGTGTTTTGCTCTATGAGATTTTCACCATAGGTAACATCGAATAGAAGTTTATGAGGCTCTGTAGATGTTTTTTGGCTATATACCATGTTTAATTAAACAACGTATCGTATTCAGTTCGACAAACGCAATGAGCTTTCCCATGCAACCTCAAACTCCATCAAGTGACACAAGTGGTGTTTTAGTGAAGGTTTTTTTTCGTCACATATATATGTCGATGGTCTTGTGGTTCTTCCAGGTGGTTCACCTTACCCACGAATGGATGGAAGAAAAATTGCAAACTTACTTCAGGATGGATACAGGATGCCTAAACCACAACACGTCGATGAAAAATTGTAAGTTTTCTTTATTACCTCGTTCTCTCTCATCGTACAGGGGAACGTTCTTTAAATCTTTAACAGATCATTTGAACAATACCAGGTATCAGATCATGATGAAATGCTGGAGGAATGACCCGGATGCAAGACCAACTTTCACTGAACTGAAAAATCAGCTTAAGGACATGGAAACCCTACACAAGGTCAGAATTTTGATCAAAATAAAATATCTTTCCACGTGGGACCGACTGGCTTAAACTCAGCTAATAAGGGTTTTAAACATAACAGCATTTAGCTTAGATATGGTAGTAATATGTACTCATCTCTGTAATTTTTACGAAGTTTGGATTGCATCTTCTTGTTATGTCACCGAAGCTAGCACTCCACGAAAAACAGCAAAGAAGCCAACTAGAATGTCGCAATGAAAATTGACACTTTATGGTTGTTTAAAAGATCATACGATGATTTCAAAGCTGCATTGAGACGCGCAAAGAGTAGCAGACGACGACGCCATAAAATACTTTCTCCCTGAATTTGCTTTGGTGTGAAAACCTGACCACTTGTGGGGATAAACGTTTAAAACGTGAGAGGAACAATTTTCCAATGATGCTTATCATGTTATTTTTCTCTGCAGAAGCTGATCAACATGACAATGTACGACAAGAAGTTGTATGCAAACGTCGAAGATTTAACAGTGTAGCTAAATACACGTGCACGGTGTCTGACTAGCTAACACTTTACCACAACAAGTTTCAGGGATAAATCATCTTTTTCTTATACGCTTACTTGGAAGAAATAGCCATGTTGTGTTTAGCAGTTAGGCTGGAACGTTGTAATTCAATTGACGATACATTTTTAAACGCTGAAACGCTTTTATAAGTTTTGCCGATAAAGTATACTCTCATTTTCTCTTTAACACATTAAGTACTTACAGGTGTGCTCGCAACAACCGTTTGAGTTCAATTTATTTTCTGGCTCAATTCTGAAAGGCAGGACAGCGCAAAAAAAAACCAATTTAATAGATTGATGAGATCTTGCCCAAAATGCCATAGTTGTGTACAATTTTCATAAATTGCTTAAACATTTTTTTTCAAAACCCGCTTGTTTGCAGGAAAGGTAATCATGTGCATAAAATAGTCCATTTTACAGTTGCTTGCTTGTCTGCAAAGCCTTTGAACAGAAGTAAGGCTAACTTTGACCTTGTTATGATACAGACATTGCTGCATGTTGTTGGGACCGATCTAGTCGGCAAATAACGGAGGATTACAACGGATTGAACCTTAAACGATGGCTTTATTCCGCTTACACGACTCGTAGTCCTCAATAACAACAGTCAGGCGTTACATGCACCACTGAGGGGGAGTCTGGGTCCCAATACACTACACATTTCAAATGTAAATTACTTTGTTATCATGCCAACTAGATATTGGTCTCTATCACAACATGGTCACCTTCCGCCTCACGTCAAATCAAAGGCCTGGCAACTAAGTACACAACTGTAAAATGGCCTATTGCTTTCCCTAAGACCGCCTTTACCTGCGATACCAACTCCAAATACTTTTACACTGAAAGAATTAGTAACATTAACGTTATTCTAGTCAAAATTATACTTGGCACATTACTTCTGCAAGAAATTTTGTTGTATGGCCTACTAGCCCGGTAGTTTTCGAGTACTAGATACTATTACTCAACGAAACTGGTCGTAGGTACGTGTTCAAGTCTTTTTTTCTTGGACACGTTGATGTAATAATTAATTAATTTTTTTTTTTAATAAAAGGGTTGACTCTGTCTGCATGATGATGCCGTACACAAGGTTACATCTTTCACTCCACGACATTAATGTATTCTATATTGACCCATAAGAAAGTTCCTTTTTTGAAGGAAGGACAGAATTTAACCAGCGTTACTTAGGCGTAAAAGAGCTTCCGAAGTGCAAAAAAATCGCTTGTGCGTGTTGCATGAGGTTTTTGTTTAGGGGAAATGAGTTTTATATTAACATTCTTGCAAATGTTGAACTTTGTCAAATACAAGGTCTGGTAGGACTAAATGAAACTTGCAAGGAAAAATGAGTAAATTTCTTTAAGAGGATATAAGAGATGACTTTTTCTGAATCCGCCATTCCAAACACTCGTGATTAAATATCCAAACAAACGTGTTAGGATATCGGAACACGTGTGTTTGGAAATCAATTTCTGCAAGAATGCATTACTTGAACAAATTTTTATTAACTTCCAGGATTACAGTAATCATCCTTTGCAGTTAACATTAACGTTTTCATTGCAATTCAAGAATTTAACTGATTTAACATTCCACGCACACTGCTTTCACCCCCCAAAAGTTCACTGCTAGTACCCGTGGTTTCCGTTACGCTACTAGATGTGCAAGGTCCAATTAATTTAAACACTTTAACACTCTGCTCTAGACTAGGTTTCTCATATGTTAACAAGGCATCTGACCTATGTCCGGTCCTTTCTCGAGTGCGTTTTTCTTCAACGCCTGAATTGAACAACTTTGTCGCACAGGCAATTCTCAAAGAATGAGCTAGCGCGCTGTTTTCGGTTTAATTCCAACCTCCTTGCACATGTTTGGCAACACTCCATTCAGCGTGTTAATTGCAACTCTGTGGACTTTTATTAAAGGCTAATTTTTGTTTCCTTGGCCTTAAATAAAGAATAAATTTCCTTAGCTTTACACTCAACGAGACCAATGTACAATCGATATACTTCGAACAAACAAGGATCGCGTTTCTGCCCAATATCGTGACAAATATGCTTAACACTCTTCGGAACGTATTTGAGATCACTCAAACTTCCGTGAAAAGTTCTGCACAAATTTTCCTCAAAATTAATAAAGTTCAAAATTCTTCAAACTCAAATTCCAATGCTCACTGGCCGATTTACGTTTTCAACTCAGTTGTTAACACTAAATTACCTGCCATAGCACGGCACATTTTCAAGCTGAATTATCGTCTGAAGGAACTATTTCTCAGATGTTTTTCTGAATCAAGCCCCTTCGTGCTTTTAACATTATAAAAAGAAACGACTTTTTTCTAGCCGCAGAAGGTACAGAAGTTTACCTGACGGCGACAGTGAATCTTAATCATAATTTCCGCTAAAAAGATGGAATATACATTTTTTTTTCTTTAAATGTCCTTTTAGGCCTGTCAAATTGCCTTTAGGTTTGACTGCTTATCCACCAACACTGTGAACACCAGGTAAGGCACAGTTTGTTTCTTCAATTGAGCCAACAAAAGGTAACTCAAATTTGTGTTCTGAGGGAAAATTGAGCTCAAATTGGTAAATTTCAGCATTCAAACTGGTTCTCCTGTTCTAAAACGTCTCAGCTAATACAAAATAATTGACGTTTGACGAACTTTTTTACAATGTAGAGTAATAAGCTTAAACGACATTACATCGTTTTATTTGGCTTGGTTTATTGCATCAAAAATTCTTCTTGGGTTAAATCTCAATGTATTTTAGCACCTAAAAGTCACCAAATCACATATATGTTAAATGTGTGATAGCAGTCTCTCCCCTACCCCTTTATTAAGGTGTGACAGTTTTGTTCTTGACTTCATGATGAGTTTCAATCAAAGTGTAGCCGTCAGCAATATTTTGACTCTCCTGTCCGATGCTGCAGGGCAAGACCAATTTGGAGGTTTTAAAGTCAATCCAGACTCAGTTGAACTAGTTTTAATAACCGCAGACGGCTCGGAAAGCACAACAAAAGGTTAATGTTGCAAAAAATTGTTATATGTTTACACGTATTCTTTCGAAAATGAATTTTTTCTAATTGCACTCCGTATCTGTTTTATTAAACAACTTGTTTCTGTGAGGGATATACTTCTGGGTTGTCGTTGTTTTATCGTTATTGTTGCTTTTGTTCGATTTAAACAAAGTATTGTTTTGCTTTTTTTTTTTAAAGTTTTTATGGATAGAGTAGCAGCCAATCAGAGTTAACATTTTTTTCGGTCACAAGCCAAAGCCATTTAATGAAAGTAGTATATCGACCAGGTTGAGAGGAAATGTTGTGTGAATGTTAACTCATTAAGTTTATAAAACGAATCATTTTAGGTCCAGAAGAATGTAACCGCCCATCTAACAACGTCTTGTTTGCCATGATTGGGGTTCATGCCTTCATAATCCTCCTTCTAATAATTTTCATAGTCTGGCTTCACAGAAGAGGTAAGTACAAATTCATTATCTATGTTAGGGGGCTCGGCTGCGAGATTAATTATTAAACAAGAGCAAATTTTTGACCCACATCCACATCATTTGTCTTTTTCCCTCTTGTTCCTTTTCAGACACTGTAGGGATACAGAGGTGTACGCTAGATATGGTATCATCTCAACTTAAAATTCCACTTAAAACTAATGAAATTCTCAGCTGTTTACGCATATTCGTATACTTCGTAAATTGTAATACTTCTGAAGATAAAAGAGATGTTTACGACGTAAGTTAAAGCTGAGACATTGAGGTCATGTTGGTGCGGCCAGAAATAATATAATCTCACTTTACTTCTGCTCTGTAGGAAAATAAGCACTTTTCACAATTAAGAAGAAAAAAGGAGGAATTCTACGAAAAACTCATATTGAATGGATGGCAGATACAATGAAATAATGACGGAAGCTTGACTCGATAGGGTCTTCGTCTTATGAGCATGTCCTTCAGCAAGCTACTCGATGGATTTTCCTTCGGTTTTCCCTGGTTTAACTCCGTGGCTTTACTTCGTAGATCGCCAACGGGTCTGCACCCGGTTGATATTTTCTTTCTAGATAATTGTTTTTCTTAGTTAGGGAGCTGAGTGCGGCGAGAGACTTTCGTGTGTGTATTTGTCAAAGAATTGTACTACAGATCGGCAATAAGATTTGAGCTTCGGCGAACATGCCATGAACCTCGATCACTCCATTAGACATAAAAGTTTCAATAGCAGCGAACATTTTGTTCGTTATTCTTAGTAACGATGTAAAACAAAAGATTATAAACTGTTTATAGCGGAGCTCGCAGAGCGTAGCCCCATAATTATACAAAATAGTAGTAACCCATCAAGCCGAAAAAATTTGGTTGTACAACCGTACGACCGTACAAGGTGCTACTTTTAACATGCGTGGTCAAATGTACCGCGGGCACGCCACGCCACGGCTTTGTCCAGTAGTCCAGTGATCAGTGCACTGGGCTCCGAATCGGACGACCCGGGTTCTAGTCCTGGCCGGGGCAAGGCGTTGTGCCCTTGAGATGTGCGGGAAAAAAATTGCTCCGCTTTTAGGCTTGGCTAAATCTATATATTAATCTTTTTTCAAAGAAGAAGATAATCGTCAGTCCGATGAAAATGGGTGAACCGATCTTAAGGCTATGAGGCTATGTTAATACTTAAACGGGTATGTTGGTTTACTAGAATGAACTAGAATTGGAAGATATCGAACTAAGTCAGCCCGATTCAAAAAACCTCAGACAGCCTTGTAAGGAATACTTGGATCTCATAGTCGGCAAAGATGATAGAAAAGCACAAAGTGCTGGTTCAGGTGCTGATTACGCGCCTCTTCATCCATTAACACGCTCCTGGGAAGTTCCAAGACGTCACGTGAACATAGCAAAAAACCATTGTGAAGGTGCTTTTGGTCAAGTTGCCAAGGGAACAGCAGTAAGACTTCAAGGGAGGCCTGAAACGACCACAGTGGCTATTAAGATGCTTAAAAGCGAGCTCCGGTACTGTATATTGAATGACGTTCTTAGCCTACAGTCCTTTAGGAAATGTTACCGGGTTACCGTAATTTTTTAGCTATTTACCATTTCGTAACATTTATTGTTATTTCGACATTTCGCATATTATTCCCGTTAACCAAATTTTACTTTTTCTTAACGCTCCAGCAAACGCTGCTGAATCGGACAATAGAGATTTGATGAAAGAATTTGATACAGTGAAGCAGCTGAAACCTCACCCTTTTGTCTTTAAACTTCTGGGATGTGTCACAGAATCTGGTATGCTTTGGTTAGGCGGGTCTAATTTTGCTTTACACTGAAGAATACTCGATAAGCTGGAAACCACTCCGCTTCGCGTAATTTACTTTAATGGAAAAGTCACTACCTAGACCGAATATTTGCCACCGAACAGACCATTCTCTTGTATAAGCAGAAACGCCTGTTGTAAGGGAATATTTGATCCGTATCGTCTTATGAGACCGTTACATAGTTTTGCAGCTTTTCTTGGTAAAACCACACCTTGTTTTCGTGAGTATTGACCCTGACTGGGCTATTCATTTATTTTATTTATTGCCATTTTTTTAGAGAGTAATATGTCATTTAAATTGTTTAATTTCCAGAACTGCTGTTGGTTTGATTGAAAATGTGCCATTTGGGGATCTGCCGGGTTACCTGAGAAAGAGCCGTGGATTAAAAGACACTATAAAGAGCCGAATATCAAACTGCAAACAAATCTGACGTCACAGCAGCTGATGATTATTGCTTGGCAAATTGCTTATGGAATGAGTCACTTGTCTTCAAAATTTTTGAGTTGAAAGAAGAAAAACAAAAAAAGGACTCTCAAAATTTAATTATGATATATCATTGTTAGCCGTACCGTCTTAGTAAGATTATTCTTTGATACAATGTTATCTCTTAAAACGATTACACCTGAGAAGAGCGAACGTATTCGTACCATCTGGTTTAGGGCTTGCCCTATAGGGATCCCATCCATTTTCAACATTATCATCTATTATCTTTCTGTTTTTTGAAGTTACTTTCGGCATGTTACCTTATCCTCGACTTAAACTGTTTTCATCTCATATCATTT